AGGCTGGTGTTGAACTTCTGGTTTCAAGCAATCCTTCTGCCTTGGCCTCCCAAAGTGCTGGGATTACAGGCAGGAGCCACCATACCTGGCCATTAAAGTATATTTTTTAAAAACCTAATATCCTAGTTGCTCCCTTACTTAAACATTCCCAAGGCTACCCATTTTTTTCTAAAGATCCACCTTCCTCCCCATGATCTGCAAAGCATAGCAGAATTGGGTCCTTGTTCACTTCTCAACCCCATCCCTCCCACTCCTCTCAGTCACAAGGCTCCAGCCTCAACCCCCTGAGCAGCCTAAGCCTTTCCCATTGCAAGGCCTTGTTCTCACTCTTTGGATAGGCACTTCCTAATCTTCAAGCTCTGGCTTATGCACAATTCCTTAGGGTTTTCCTGGACCAATCAGTCTAGAGTGTGTCACTCTCCCTATTACTACCTTAATGGCGCTTATCCTGCTGGATGGTTCTTGTAACATCTAATTTTAGGTGTCAACTCGGCTGGGTTATAGGATAACCAGACAGCTGGTAAAGCATTATTTCTGGGTGTGCCTGTGAGCATGTCCAGAGGAGGCTGCCATGTGAGTTGGTGGACAGAGCAGGAAAGGTCTGCTTTGATGTGGGCAGGAACTAGTCAATCAGCTATGGGTCCAGTCAGAATAAAAAACTGGATTATGAGGAAAGGTGAATTCACTCTCTCTTCTGGAGCTGGGACACCCTTCTCCTCCTGCCTTTGGACATCAGAACTCCAGACTCTCCGGTGTTTGGAGTATACACACTCGCGACACTCCAGGCCTGCAGCCCTGGACTGAGAGTTACGCCATCAGCTGCACCATCCTGAGGCTTTCAGGCTTAGACTCAGCCATGCTATCAGCTTCCCTGGGTCTCCAGCTTGCAGATGGCCTCTCCTGGGACTTCACAGCCCCCAAAACTATGTTAAGCAATATCCCTGACAATCCCTTCTCATATACCTATCATCTATATCTGTATATGTCGTGCTGGTTCTGTTTCTCCAGAGAAGCCTACTACAGTTCCTCACTGGAATAGACAGTCTATGATGATAAAGACCTTTTCCCTACCAAACCATAAACAGTGTCTAACACAGAGCCAGGGCCACAATAGTGTCTGCTGAATAAAACAGGAAGGGCATCTGTCCTGCTCATCGCTGTGTCCCACCTACTGGATGCCCAGCAGTGGGGTCAGTGCATGCACAAGACCTGGAGACCCCATCATTTCAGTTAGTCAAGGGGTCTCAGAAGCAACTCCCAGAGATGATGAGTGGCTGGTCCAGGAATCCTGACCCCATGGCTGGACCACTTTCCCAGAGTTTGAACTCCCTATGATGCTCTGAGAACATGTGACTTCACTGCAGAAAAAACACCAAAGCTTCCTTCAGTTCGTTAGGGAGGGACCCTTGTTTCCCACTCATCACGTGCCGACTGAGTTCCCAGTATTCCCCGGCAGGAGTGGATCAGCTTGGCACCACAGGACTCTAAACAGTATCCTGCACATATCCTGCTTCAGCCCACGTGGAGCATCTGAGAACCCGGAGGTGAGTGTCAAAGAACCGACACTGCACAGATCGTGTTCTCTTCCCACACTTTATTTCATTTAGAAATCAAGGCCAGGCAAGGTGGCTCACACCTGTAATCCCAGCACTTTGGGAGGCTGAGGTGGGCGGATCACCTGAGGTCAGGAATTTGAGACCAGCCTGGACAACATGATGAAACCTCGTCTCTACTAAAAATACAAAAATTAGCTGGGTGTGGTGGCAGGCGCCCGTAATCCCAGCTACTTGGAAGGCTGAGGCAGTAGAATCACTTGAACCCAGGAGGAGGAGGTTGCAATGAGCTGAGATCGCGCCACTGCACTCCAGCCTGGGCAACAAGAGCAAAAACTCCGTTTAAAAAAAAAAAAAATTAGAAATCAGTAACAAAAACTAGCTGGGAATCCCCCACACATTTGGAAATGTTAAGACACACTTCTAAAGAACTCAATCGTCAAATAATAACAGAAATGAGAAAATATGTGGAGTTAATGAGAAAAAAAATAGTACACCTCAAAACTTGAGGGGTTCATTGGTGATTTCGTGAGCTTCCACCATGCCCCCGGCATTGTACTAAGCACTGGGAATATCCCAGGCACAAAACAAGTTGTGCACTGTTAGGGCTTCACCTAGACGGGGAGCTGGGCAGCAGCAAATCCGTGTGTGACGCCCAGGAAACCATCAGCTGATTTCCCAAACGCGGATTCATGGAGGAAAAGGGCAGGGAGGGACAGGTGCTGGGATGGGAGGAGCCACAACACTCACCAAGGTCTCGGGGAAGGGGGCAGGAAGGATGAAGAGAAGTCATGAGAAAGAATCTGAATATTGAGTTTGGCCATGTACCTGTCACAAGCTGATCTTTTTATATGAACTAATAAACAGCTTGACTTATTCAGTTAAATAAAAGAGTGAGGCTGGCCAGGCACAGTGGCTCACACCTGTAATTCCAGCACTTTGGGAGGCCGAGGCGGGCAGATCACGAGGTCAGGAGTTCAAGTCCAGCCTGACCAACATGGTGAAACCCTGTCTCTAGTAAAAATACAAAAATTCGTGGTGTGCACCTGTAGTCCCAGCTACTCAGGAGGCTGGGGCAGGAGAATCGCTTCAACCCGGGGGGTGGAGATTGCAGTGAGCCAAGATCGTGCCACTGCATTGCAGCCTGGGTGACAGAGCAAGACCCCATCTCAAAAAAAAAAAAAAAAGTGAGGCTAATACAATTTATGCTAATCATGTCTGTGTGGGAGAAGAATGAGCTCCTCATGTAAGCAGTTCTGCCTACAAGAGAGCACATTAGTACCAGACGAGAGTGATGCTTCCTTTCTTGAATTGCTGGTTGTCTGGAGAGGGAAGGGAGTTGCAAAGGGAAGGGCAACAGTGCCAGCTGGTGCCAGGGCAGAGGTGAACTCAGGTGCAGATGAGGGATGCGTGGCTTGCCCAGGCAGTGCCCCCTGCTGGAGCTCTGGGGCGTGCTGCCCATGTCTGCTGTGTGATGTTGAGACTCAAGCCTTAGTCTCTGCAGCAAGACAGATGTGGCTTCCAGGAGCCACCTGCTGGCCCAGCACTCCACGAACACACCACAGATGCTGAGTTCAGCCCCAGGGGGTGGTTTTAGGCCGTTTTGGTTCTGGGAACCAAAGTCTTTGACCTGCACAACCTACATTCTAATGGAAAAAGCAAACACACACCTAAGATAAACTTTGGGTAGTGGTGAGCTGTGTGCAGAACATAACTCTAGGTGAAGAAATGGCTGTGACTGGGGGCCTTACTGTAGTCTGGGTGAACAAAGAAGGTCTCTTGAAAGCAATGTTTAAGCTGACACTCAGAAGCAAGCGGGAAAAATTTGTGGCACAAGTCTGGGAACACAGGGCAGAGCTGGTGCAGAGCAGCTCAGCAGGCTCTGGAGTTGGGAGAAAGAGGAGGTGCCGGGCCAGGAAGGCAGAGCCAGAGCATGGGCCTGGGGATACGCTCTGCAGCTCAGTCTGATGCTAAGTGCAACAGAAGCTACTGAAGTCGGAGGGCAGTAATGTGATTTCCCAATGCTTTTAAAGGATCACTCTGCCTGGGTGTGAGGGTAGAGCAGCAGAAGCAAGAGTGGTTGAAGGGATCTAAGTGAGAAAGGTTTATGGTGAAGATAGGAGGACGGGGGAAAGGAGGCACGCTCAGGACCTGTTTTGTGGGTAGAGACTGTTACACTCGCTGTAGGTGGAGGTGGAAGGAAAGTCAAGGATGACTCACAGGATTTTTCTTGAAGTGGCCAACATGTATTTTTCTTTTGAGAGCTTTCATGTCAGGCGCAGTCCTAAGTGGTGTTTCTCTCTCTCTCTCTCACACACACACACACACACACACACGCGCGCGCGCGTGCACACTGAATCCTAACAAGATTCCAGTAGGGAAAATGCTATTATCTTTCTTTTATAGACCAGAAAACCGAGGCACAGAGCAATCGAGTAATGTCTTAATGTTGCCCAAACCATGCTGGCAAGCAAACCATGCCAGCCAGTGGTGACCCCAACGCCCCTGCTCTTACTCACTAGTCTGCACTGGCTCCAGAGGACCTGGAAGGAGGATGGGCCCTTCACTGAGGTGGAGAAGACTTGAAGAAGAAGAGGATTTGGAAGAGGATAGTTCCAAGTCCCTCCAGTGGAGCATCCTCTGCAGGAGTCCATTATTCACCCAGTAATGCCCAGGGAACCAGCAAAGGCCAAGTGCGGGCACAGTCAGCGAGCTCAGACTCCATGAGGGCCTGTATTCTAAGACACCCTCACAGGGTGGAGACCGGAGGAAGGCAGTGCTGGAGAGGGAATGGGGCCAGAGGAGACATCTTACAAAGAAACCTTCCTCTGCTACAAAGTCAAAAGCTGGACAGAGCACAGAAAGCACAAATTGGAGCCTCAAAAGCTGGTTCTCACCACAATAAACAATATTCATAATAACATGAATTCCCTTATTTACTGACCTCCACTCTGTGTCTGTTCAGTAAAAGCACTCACTGGCTTCTAGATATCGATGTATACTCTCCCACTCCAATACAAGAGAATCTCACTACTCCTTGTCTTAAAAAAAATTGATTCCTCTTAAGAAAGGGGTAGGTAAAATTCTCTAAAATAAATGTGGAGAAGGGAGAAGACTGAGGACCCATTTCTAGTTCCTCTTGGGGACATGAAGTGAAGAGGTTGTGCCTGGATTGTCAAGAATTTAGTTTTAAGAGCAGAACTCCACCAAAGTGCACTTTTCCGGAAGTAAGTCAGTTAATCACTTCTGCAAGAGTGCACTGTCTGCCTCTCTCTCCTTGGTCCATAGCAAGAAAAGCAACCTTGGTGTGGGGAGCCCCGCTTCTGTGGAAACTGCTGCCAGCATGAGGGGATGGCCTGACAGACTCAGGGGGTCTGAAAGTCAGCACACATGTGGTGCAAACATGCTGTCACTCAGAAAAGAAAGAGGATGACTCTGAAAGCTTACCACTGCTTCTGATGTGGACGGGTATTTCTGCAGTCCCGTCCTGGGGAAACAGTTCCTTGGACTCAGCAGGTGCAGCTTTAACTTGCCAAAGAGGATCTTCAACAAAGCAATATACACATGGTGAGGGGGTCTCACATTGAGAGAAACAGTCAGAGAAGACACACCCAAACAGACGTTACGACGCGCTTCAATTCTCATTTAAGTACTTTTCTTAAATTCTCATTAAGTAGTACTTTTCTTTGATTTAAGGGCATTGAAGTAATAAATCTCAATGTGTTCATTACTTGTGAGAGAACATGAAAAACTTTTATACTTTCAGATAGTTGACATAAAATTTTTATAATTTCAAAATAAATCTCCCTTAACTCCTGAATAGAAATACATTTATGAAAGAACCAGAATTCAGCTTTACCTCTCGAAGCTGATTATTGCTCATTATAAGAAACTGTTCTCCTGCAACAAAATGAGCTTCTTGTTCCAATTCCTTGAGACGAGCCTGAAAACATGATACACACAATTAATCTCATTCATAGCTTTCACAATTTAAAATTATTTAATTTGTTCATCAAACAATTCCCAACAGCAATATGGGCATGGTGGCTTATGACTGTCATACCAGCCCTTTGGGAGACTGAGGCAGGAGAATCACTTGAGGCCAGGAGTTTGAGACCAGCCTGGGCAACATAGTACGACCCCATCTCTTTAAAAAAAATAAAAAATTAGCCAGGCATTGTGGCGCACGCCATCCTAGCTATTTGGGAGGCTGAGGTGGGAGGACTGTATGAGACTGAGAGCTCAAGGTTGCAGTGAGTTATAACTGTGCCATTGCACTCCAGCCTGTGTGACAGTGACACCCTGTCTCAACACACACACACACACACACACACACACACACACACACACACACTCTCTTCACAAAGAAAGCTCTTAATAGAGTAATAAATAACCTATCATTTATCAAAATAAGCATAAAAATACATATTTTGGCTGGGAGTGGTGGATCACACCTGTGATCCCAGCACTTTGGGAGGCCAAGGCAGGTGGGTCTCTTGAGCCTAGGGGTTGAGACCAGCTTGAGCAACATAGTAGGACCTCATCTCTACAAAAAAATAAAATGACAAATAAAAAATATATATTTTGCCTCATGGTGAAATACTTAGGCTCACAGAAGCCTCCTCCCCCAAAGGTAAGAAAACTGAAAGAAGTAAAAATAATGGGAGGGTAAGAATCAATTCTCCAGCAATATTAGGACTAGAAAAGTGATCCAGCATCACATAGAACAAGACAGAGGCAGAAGGTATAGGAAACAGGCTTGTATCCAGAATATATCAAGATATCCTATACATCAGTAAGAAAAAAATATAAAAATGGGCAAAAGACTTGAGCAGATCCTTTACAAAAGAAATTCCTAATAGCTAATGATGCTAGGAAAAGCTAATCAACCCCATGAGTGTGAAATGTGACATAAAAAAATGACAGCACACTGGTCCAGAGCTCTGGAGTAGAGTCAGGAAGCCATTCTAAGGATTACCTGCATGACCTGAAACCCTGAAAAACAAAAAGAAAACAAACCAGGAACTTGCATTGAACCTGTGAACTGGGCCAAACTGCAATGACCACAGCATCCTGGAACCCAGCTGGATCCCGCCCGTGCCGCAACTCCTGAAGAGCAGCAACCAGTGAGCTCGACGGACTCATGTACTAAGCCAATCGCCTCGACCAATGACAATCCTTTCACAACACTTGTGTATTCACCCTTAGCTTCATTTTAAAAATCTCTGCTCCCCTTCCTCTCTTCGGAACACAATTTGGCCTTTAGCTAAATGTGCCCCACGAATTGCAATTCCTAAGACCCAGTAAGTGCCTTGTCTTACTGGTTTTCAGTCTGGCTTTTTGCCTCTTCTTGGTTGACATTAAATGGTGTCAGAAGTAGGACACGAAGCTGTGCATTCTGGCACTGCCATTGATTGGCGCACTGCACTTGCAAGAACCTCTTGTGTCCTATCGCCTCCCTGAATCCTCTTATTTCCTGAACACCCCACCTCAGTTGAGGTTCAGACCTTTACTGAGTGTCTGTCCTTTGCTGCTGGCTGTTGACAGAGGAATTTTCCCGTTTTTAGTAAGGACTGATGGGGACTTCTGCTTCTGAGAGTATAGGTGCTGAGTCTCTCTCTTTTAGAATTTCTGTACAAAAATTATGATCTTTTATCTTTCTTGAGCCAACATCACCGAAAGTGATTTGGAATTACAGTGGCCAATCTGGGAGTCTCTCATCTCCCAAAACGTGTTTTCCACCACAGACAATTAGAAGGGCTAACAGGAAAGATTAAACAGCCTGAGTGGGACATCCGCTTCGCTTTGGTATCTTGAGGCATCTAAGAGAAGTCCAGAGACAATAATGCCAAATTAACTCAAAGGCTCTAAGCTAGAAACAAACAAACAGACAGAAACACCTCCTACTCCGACCCCTCCTGTCCTATGTCATGCTGTGTACTCTCTTGCTTATATGTTAAAAACTTATTCTAAACCTGGAAATTACCTCCTGGCCTTTCCATGAAGAGGCGGCTTATTGGATTGAGTTACTACTGGAATAAGCATTCCGTTGGAAATTCTAATCGTCAGTAGTCGAACAGTGGATCTTCAAATTAGAAAAACGCCCATAAAATATTTTAGATATCTCCCATTCTAAACACTTGCTTTATTTGTACTTACGGGAGGATCACATTTTTTAAGAAAGACACATAATAGGCTGGGTATGGTGGGTCACACCTGTAATCCCAGCATTTTAGGAGGCTGAGGTGGGAGGATCACTTGGGCTCAGGTGTTCAAGACCAGCCTGGGCAACATACTTATCTTAAAAAATAAAAACATAAAAATAAATAAAATTAGCCAGGCATGGTGGCATGGTACCTGTAATCCCAGCTACCAGGGAAACTGAGGAAGGAGGATTGCTTGAGCCCAGGAGTCTGAGGCTGCAGTGAGCTGTAACAGCAGCACTGCATGCCAGCCTGGTTGACAGAGCAAGACCCTGTCTCTAAAAACAAAAATTAGGCCGGGTGTGGTGGCTCACGCTGTAATCCCAGCACTTTGGGAGGCCGAGGTGGTTGAATCACCTGAGGTCAGGAGTTAGAGACCAGTGTGGCCAACATGGTGAAACCCTGTCTCTACTAAAAATACAAAATTAGCCAGGCATGGTGGTGGGCACCTGTAATCCCAACTACTTGGGAGGCTGAGGCAGGAGAATCACTTTCAACTCGGAGGCTGAGTTTGCAGTGAGCCAGGATCGTGCTACTGCACTTCAGCCTGGGCGACAGAGTAAGACTCTCTTAAACATTTTTTTAAAAGGCCAGACGCAGTGGCTCACGCCTATAATCTCAGCACTTTGGGAGGCCACAGTGGGTGGATCACGGCTAATACAAAATTAGCCAGGCATGGTCATGGGCGCCTGTAATCCCAGTTACTTGGGAGGCTGAGGCAGGAGAATCACTTTCAACTGGGAGTCAGAGGTTGCAGTGAGCCAAGATCACACTGCACTCCACCCTGGGTGACAAGAGTGAAACTCCATCTCAAAAATAAAATAAAATAAATTCAAAATTTAAAAAGGACACATAATAGTGTCATGGCTAGACTTAGAAATTCTCTTGATGAAATCAAACAACAAATATCTGGCCTAAAATCCTTTGCATCTTCAAACTGCCTGCTTTGGATTCCCTGTGGAATTTACCAAAAAAAAAAAAAGAAAGAAACTTTACTCTGTGGTCCAGTGGAGACGTAAGCCCTTTAATTCAGGAGAAGAAATACTAATTTAAAAACTGGTTTAAGATGTGTTAATATGTGTTTGACTCTTGACTTGGGGGGGCCTTCTGTTTTTCTCAAGGTTCCCCAAGAGTCATGAGCAGGTTCAAGTCTAATGTGTAGACACCTCAACCGACTGTCCTCCGCACTCCAGGAGACCCTTCTTAAAGAATGTTCCCAACATTAACCTTTTCTTCCATTCGAGAGCCTGTCCTCAATGCCGTCTCCTGAAATAAGGCACAACTGTTTGATTGAACTAATTCTCAGAAATGGGAGACTGGTTTAACAGGATCTTTTGCCCCCAGCTAAATCAATTTTTCTCTCCACATCCATCAACACAGTTGTTACTCTGTGAAACCTCTCTGGGAGTTTCAGACACGGGAATGTTGAGGGGGCAGGTGATCCCCCAAACATGGTGATTTGGCTCCAGAAATAAGCCTCAGAATCAAGGTCCTTCTAACCTTGTCTTATTCTTTCTACTCCAAGAGCAAGGAGGGACACTCTCTCTCTGTAATTTTCTTATCTGGCTAAGAAAGCTTCTTACAAAAGAAACACAATTGCATTCTATGTGGTCTCTGAAATCTCATTATCTATTTCAGAAAAGAAGACTGAGGAATGACATTTAGACACGTTACTAAAATGTATGCCTCTTCAGATATACAGCTAATCACCATATAATAATGCAGGCCTCCTTATTAAAATGGCTCTCTTATTACTCAAAGTTCACTAATCTCTGAATCCATATTGCACAGTGACTTTCAACAACCCCCTCTGTGAGATAAGACACTAGAAACAGGCAGTTCTAGCTCTGGGGAAAAGAGATAACAAATTTGTGACTGACCATCGAACAACTGATCAGTAATGCTTCCTCCTGTCAGATTTTGAGTAAAAGGGGGGAATGTGACATGTGACATGCAAAATGGTATCATTCTGGTCCAGGCTCTAAAATGGAGTCAGGAGGTCATTCTAAGGACTACCTGCACAACCTGCAACGCTGAAAACAAAAATAAAAAAACAAGGACTTGCCTTGAACCTCTGAACTGGGCCAAACTACAATGACCACAACATCCTGGAAAACAGCTGGATTTTGCCAGTGCTGCAACTCCTGAAGAGCTACAACCCATGAGCTCAATGGACTCACGTGCTAAGTCAACTGCCTCCACCAATGACACTTTCACAACAACTTGTGTAATCACTTCAGCTTCCTTTGAAAAATCTCTGCTTCCCCTCCTCTCTTCGGAACACATATTGGTCTCTCCTGAGTTGCAGTTCCTAAGACCCCAATAAATGCCCTGTCCAGCTGCTTTGCAGTCTGGTCTTTCACCTCTTCTTGGTTGACATTAGTAATCAGGAAAGTAAAACAAAACTCATCATCATGAGATATCATTATAGTCTCACCAAAATGGCTACAATTTAAAAGTGTGATGCGGCCAGGGGAAGTGGGGATGTGCCAGAACAGGATCCTGTGTGCATTCTCATGCGTGAAACCCTGGAGAGCCACTGGGCATCACTGAATAAAACTCAGCGACGTCTTCCCTGTGTCCCAGCAGCATTAGTCACCTCATAACCCACGGGCATAGGGGACACATTCAGAGGTACAGCATTGGTTTGTAATCACTGCCACGTGGAAACAACCAGATGCTTATTGGCAGTGGGACAGAGACACCAAGGGCAGCACAGTCCACAACAGAAAACTCCACAGCACAAGTGACACACAGAAATACAGATGGAACTGAGATGCAGAAGGCTGAGTGAAAGACCACATGTAAACCACTGATTTACTTACAGTTCAAAAGCAAAGCTAAACTATGTTGTTTAGGCTTTGAAGTGGGAAAGCTAGAAAGAAAAGCAACAATGAAAAGGCTACAGAACTCAGGGTTGCAGTTAGTTTTGGCAGCGGGAAAGGGGTTCTGATAAGAAAAGCACCTAGGGCTCTGGAACCCTATGCTTTGAGCTAGGGGATGGTTATATTGGGGTTTCCTTTATTTTAAAGATGATTCTGCCATGTGGTTTAGTCTTTTTAAAAAATTCGTGCTGATGTATGAGGTACATGAGAAAATGTATGACGTGTATATAATGTGCAGTGGTCCAGTGAGGATACCCAGAGTGTTCATCATTTGATACAATACCTTTTTGTTAAGTATGGTCATCCTACTCTGCTACCAAATACCGAATTCCTTCCTTTTATTTTACTGTATGTTTGTCCCCTTTAACCTGTTTCTCTTCCTCTTCCCCTCCCCATCGCTCACCCTTCCCAGTCTCTGTCCATTTTTCCGCTCTCTACCTACATGTGTTTTCTTCATGAAAATTGAAGTAGAGCATTGTTATGTATTTTTTCATCCATCTTTACACATCTCTCTGTATTTTTATTTTTCAAGAAACCCAAGATTTTTTTCACCAAACTACAGGGAGCAATGTCCCTGTAGGAAAAACTTAACTTTTGAGAAGGATTATGAGGATATATTAAAGAACTCCCCGACACACATGCACTAGATGCAATGTTGTTTAAGTCTTTTCAATGCCTTGTTCTCCCCTGCAGGAGTCAGAAAGAGGAAGAAACACTGTCAACTTCAAACAAGAAAGAGAAGAAAAGTAGAATCTACTCTCAACCTGCCACTAGGAACAAGTCTCCCATGTAGGGAAGAGATGACAAGTACAAGCCGTCTGAAATAATAACTTACCCCAAGAAGTGAGGATGTCTTCTCCATCTCTTCTTTGTTCACCTGAATGGTGTGGCTTTCCATCACTGTGATTCAAAACCCAAACCAGATCATACTTGCATTAATGAATCCTTTTTCTAAACACCAAAATGCTTCGCTCCCTGATGAGGATGATAATGACTGCAACTGCCATTTACTCAGCACCTGCTGCATGCCAACCTCTCAACAGGATCTGTCAGGACCCCTGTGTCATACAGGCAAATGGGCGCATTGAAAGAGCTGGCCTTTGAAGTGGGAGTGGGCATGGGGGCCACACTGGCCTGCCTGGCCCTTCCCATACTGTGAATGCTCCCTGGCTGACATGGTGCCCATCAGGACCTGCATCAAAGGCAAAGGCAGAAGACAGCCCTGCAGCAGTTCTTGCAGGCAGGTTCTCAAGGCGTAAGGATAGCAAACCAGAAGGAGAGGCAACCATTAGCATATAAAACATCTAAAGAAGTCTGTTCCTCTTGGGTGAGACAGCACAGCAGGGATCCCTATTACCAAAATGTCAGAGCCTCTAGTCTTTCCACACCAAAAGGGAATGCAGTCCAACCTCTCATTACAGGAAGGGAAAATAATAGGCTTGCTACCTCTCCGGGCCCATGAGACACACTATCTACTCCTAAGTAAGTTACAGAGAAATATCACAATGTGAAGAATCCTGTGGAATAATGACTGTACTTCATCTTTATGGTAACTTACCTGCCAAAATTGGTATCAGAGGAAGCTCCAAAGTACAAAATAGTTGCCATAAACCATAATCCTGTTTAATAGGAAGAAGTAACATCAATGTCAATTTAAATATTATTGTATCTGCATTTTGTTGAAAGCCTTTTTTTTTTTTTTTTTTTGGAGACAGAGTCTTGCTCTATAGGCCAGGCTGGAGTGCAGTGGTGTGATCTCGGCTCACTGCAACCTCCACCTCCCCAGTTCAAGCAATTTTCTTGCCTCAGCCTCCTGAGTAGCTGGGAGTATAGGCACCCCTGCACAATGCCAGGCTAATTTTTTTTTTTTTTTGGTAGAGACGGAGTCTCACCATGTTGGCCAGGCTGGTCTTGAACTCCTGACCTCAAGTGATCTGCCCACCTCGGCCTCCCAAAGTGCTGGGATTGCAAGCGTGAGCCACTGCGCCCGACCGAAAAGCCTGCTTAATTCTGTTAAGCTAGAATTAAGGCAACTCCTATGATGGGCATGTTTGGTCTCCTACAACCTCTACTCCTCTTGCTTGCTCTTCCTAATACACTCTTATTTCCTTTAAGGAAATATCTGGTAGGCCAAGCCCATCCTCAATTTTCTTTACTTTTTTTCATTTTTAAGATTGATTTAGGCATTTGTGGACTTTTAGTCTTCCATTTTAATTTCAGAAGAGGCTTACTGAATTCCCCAAATTTGCCAATAATTCTCATTGGTTTTTCACTGCCACTATGTGAATGTTAATTTGGGGAACATTAAAATCTTTATTCCAGGACACCTCCTGAGAGCATGGAATGTCTATTTATCTGAGTCCTCCTGTGCTCTTCATGAGTCTCATCATTTTTATTTTTCCTGCTGCCATGAGAGAGTCCCAGGCTCCATTCTCCAACTCTTGCCCTCATGTTCCCTCCTGCCCCTGTAGACTCATTCTCTCCCCTGCCCCTCCGGGCCACATCACCTGGGCCACTCATCTGCTCTCAGATTGGGCGCCAGCAGGGCAATGAGGGCAGGAGGGAGGGAAACAGGCTGAGTTACTGCCTGTTCCTAGAGTATTCTCCTTCTGGCTGCTGCCCTTCACCCTCCCTCACCTCCAGACACCCCTCCATTCAGCTCTTCTTGGTTGTTCACTGAAGTGGCTGTCTGCTTCCCAGGAAGACTCTGGTTGAGTGAAGCTATGTCCATCCCACAATTAATCAAAATTAATGCTCAGCTTTTACATTAACTATGGCATTGGAAACATCCCACTTAAAGAGAAGGCTTTAAAAAATATTTCAATTGTTTTCAACCTACAGAAAGCATTTTTAAAACTTCAGGTCTTATCATTCTAGACTACCCTTTTCTGAGTGATGCACAGGTTAATTTGTTCTTAGAACTCAAGGTTTCGTTTCCTTCACATTCAAACGTAGTGCATGCAGCATTGCTCCCTGGGAGGACAGGTGTGAATGAAAAGACATCTCCTGCGAGCCTCTGTCAGCCAGAAATTATAATAAAATGCCTTGCCTTCAGTTTAGAGCAAAGGTCCATCGTAAGTCTGTAGAGTATCTTCAGGTTCTCACGTACGTTCTGATTCTTTAAAAGAGCAAAAGTGTTTTTAAACATCAGATAAACTTGGTGGCAGTGCTCATCACAGCCTGGAACTGGCACGACTTGAACAATTTTTCCTAGGAAAATCCCATGAGGCTTTCAGTGGCAGATGTCATGTATGTGGTGGTGTGTCACCCAATACCTTGACTGGACAAATTCCCATCTACATAGACAGTGCTTCTACTGTGCAAGCGCAGGCTATCCATAGGCGGACACTTCCTCCCAACCTAGGATGTTTCCTTATTTTACAAGTTGAGAAACAGAACCACAAAGAAACCTAGTGCCTCAGGTGCAAGGATTAAATGGCAGTCGGGAGAGGAGAATGCAGACCTGGCCTGTCTCAGGTCCGCAGCTCCATTCTATCAGCCTTACCACCCTGCACCAACATATAGCGGCTGCCACGTTCCACTTACCCCTCCATTCTCAGCCCAGGAGATGCACACAGAGGCCCTGGGAGATGACAAACACAGGTCTGTGTTTGACTGACAAAGGGGGAGATGGGATGAGATGAGCCCCTCAATACAGAGTCTCATTCTCCTTCCCCTAACATGGAGCCCCAGGACCTCTTCTTCAACACCCCATCCTGCCAAACAAACCCCCCAACTCCAGCCCAACTCAGACTCGGTTTTCTGCTAAAAGCTTGAGATTAGAGTGAACATCCCAGTGGACCAGTGGCTAGCCCCACACACCCTGGCACTGGTTTCCAGTCAATCTGGTTGTGGCTCTCCTGTGACTGTCCGGAGAACATCCTGTAGAAGAGCCCCTCCACGTCAAGTACTTGGCGGCCACCTGGCAGAATTCTCCACCTCTTTGGAGAGCAGGGTGTTGATCAACCTGTGATCATGTAGATTAATGGCTGGACTTCCATTTCCCATCCTCATGCATGCACTGCATGGCTCAACTACACATATCTGGCCAATGAGACATAAACAGAACTGCATCTGAGGCTGCCTCTTTTCTTCCTGGAGTGTGGATGAGTTGAACCCTGGCCTTAATTGGACCCTGAGCAAGGAAATGTACCTTTCTACACCTCAGTTTTCTCATCTATAAACTGGGACTGATAATTCTGAGATGGACAACTACTTCTTGCTACTCTCTCAGCTTCTGTTTGGAGAAGTATCCCTGCCTGACAGCATGGATTCTGGGCAGGAATACTAATCAAGATGCCCTGCCTCCCTGGTGGGGTGTAGACAACACAAGAGAGGGAAAGAAAATTCTGTCCAAGGGCTGAAAGTATGACTTTTGGACAGAGAAAAGGTCACGGCTCAATGCTGCCAACATGCCTACTGGTTCCAGCTCCCTGGGTCCCAGGGCTGCCTGGCTCCTGTTCTTCCCAAGGCCTGGTACTGCTTTTTCCTCTGATTCTGTGATTTACCCCATATTCTTCTGATAAGTCTCTTTTTATATTAAGGGAGAGTGCATTTTCAAACCCCTACTGGTACAAATCTTCACATCATAGATGATCTGTGAGGATGAAGTGCATGAAGGAAACATCCCCACTCAGTGCCCAGTGCCTGGCGTGGGCTCACATCACCTCTTACTCCTAGCACGATGCCTGGCACTCAGCATGGTCTCACGTCACCTCTTACCCCCAGCTCAGTGCCTGGCACATGGCAGGGGCTCACATCACCTCCTACCCCCAGCTAAGTGCCCGGCACATGGCACGGGCTCATGGCATCTCTTACCCCCAGCTAAGTGCCCGGCACTCAGCACAGGTTCACATCACCTCTTACCCCCAACTCAGTGCCTGGCACTCAGCACAGGTTCACATCACCTCTTACCCCCAGCTCAGTGCCCAGTACATGGCACGGGCTCACATCACCTCTTACCCCCAGCTAAGTGCCCGGCACATGGCACGGGCTCACGGCACCTCTTACCCCCAGCTAAGTGCCCGGCACTCAGCACAGGTTCACATCACCTCTTACCCCCAGCTCAGTGCCCGGTACATGGCACGGGCTCACATCACCTCTTACCCCTAGCTCAGTGCCTGGCACATGGCACAGGCTCACATCACCTCCTATCCCCAGCTCAGTGCCTGGCACATGGCACGGGCTCACATCACCTCTTACCCCCAGCTCAGCGCCTGGCACATGGCACAGGCTCACATCATCTCTTACCCCCAGCTCAGCGCCTGGCACATGGCAAGGGCTCACATCATCTTACCCCCAGCTCAGTGCCCAGTGCTCAGCATGGTCTCACAGCACCTCTTACCCCCAGCTCAGTGCCTGGCACATGGCAGGGGCTCACATCACCTCCTACCCACAGCTCAGTGCCTGGCACATGGCACGGGCTCACATCACCTCTTACCCCCAGCTAAGTGCCCGGCACCTGGCACGGGCTCACGGCACCTCTTACCCCCAGCTAAGTGCCCGGCACCTGGCACGGGCTCACGGCACCTCTTACCCCCAGCTAAGTGCCCGGCACTCAGCACAGGTTCACATCACCTCTTACCCCCAGCTAAGTGCCCGGCACTCAGCACAGGTTCACATCACCTCTTACCTCCAGCTCAGTGCCTGGCACATGGCACGGGCTCACATCACCTCTTACCTCCAGCTCAGTGCCTGGCACATGGCAAGGGCTCACATCACCTCTTACCCCAGGCTCAGTGCCTGGCACATGGCACGGGCTCACATCATCTCTTACCCCCAGCTCAGCGCCTGGCACATGGCACGGGCTCACATCATCTCTTACCCCCAGCTCAGTGCCTGGTGCTCAGCACGGGCTCACGGCACCTCTTACCCCCAGCTCAGTGCCCGGTGCTCAGCATGGGCTCACAGCACCTCTTACCACCAGCTCAGTGCCCGGCACATGGCACAGGCTCAGCACGGGCTCACATCACCTCTTAGCCCCAGCTCAGCGCCCGGCGCTCAGCACGGGCTCACATCACCTCTTACCCCTAGCTCAGTGCCTGGCACATGGCACGGGCTCACATCACCTCTTACCTCCAGCTCAGTGCCTGGCACATGGCAAGGGCTCACATCATCTCTTACCCCCAGCTCAGTGCCTGGCACATGGCACGGGCTCACATCATCTCTTACCCCCAGCTCAGCGCCTGGCACATGGCACGGGCTCACATCATCTCTTACCCCCAGCTCAGTGCCTGGTGCTCAGCACGGGCTCACGGCACCTCTTACCCCCAGCTCAGTGCCCGGTGCTCAGCATGGGCTCACAGCACCTCTTACCACCAGCTCAGTGCCCGGCACATGGCACAGGCTCAGCACGGGCTCACATCACCTCTTAGCCCCAGCTCAGCGCCTGGCGCTCAGCACGGGCTCACATCATCTCTTAGCCCCAGCTCAGCACCCGGCGCTCAGCACGGGCTCACATTACCTCTTACCCCCAGCTCAGTGCCTGGCGCTCAGCAGGGGCTCACATCACCTCTTAGCCCCAGCTCCGAGCCTTGCACAGGCACAGGCTCACATCACCTCTGGCTTTGCTCTGATTGCTCAAGCTAGCTCAGGAGCCTGTGTGTTCTTTCAGCAGTGATTTTACCATGTAACTGTTCACAGACAGCTAACGTGAAAGCCTCAACAGAGTGGCCCCAACTGTGGCCACACTGCCACCACTAGACACCTCTCCTCTGGGGCCTGCTGAGAGGTCTCTCTCTGGGTTCCAGGCACAATTCTAGAAGCTGTGAGTGCCGCTGTTTCTCCGGATGGTGCTTCCTGATAACCAGGGGCATCTCTAGGCAGGAAGGGCCTGGAGAGAGACTCAAGACAGCTCTACTTTTTTTTTTTTTTGGAGACAAAGTCTTACTCTGTTACTCAGGCTGGAGTGCAGTGGCATGATCTTGGCTCACTGCAACCTTCACCTCCGGATTCAAGCAATTCTCCTGCCTCAGCCTCAGAGTAGATAGGACTAAAGGCATGCACCACCATGCTTGGTGCGCTCATTTTTGTATTTTTAGGAGAGATGGGGTTTTGCCAGGTTGGCTAGGTTGGGTCTTGAACTGGCCTCAAGTGATCCATCCACCTTGGCCTCCCAAAGTGATGGGATTACAGGTGTGAGCCACTGTGCCCAGCCTCAGACCCAGGGCAGTTCTGACCATTGTCTCCACACAGACTGAAGAGGGGCCATCCCAGGACTCTGGCACTGTGGCCATATCACAAGCACTAAGAATTTACTGATGAGTGGCTTTCTGCTCATGGAACAGGTGACACTGACACCAGAGACTTGTCTGGAAGAGTTGCACTATGGACAGATTTCTGGAACAGGTTCCATGGAAGAACAGCCATCACCCATTCTTACTCAACATCCTCCACCAGAAACACCAAGGTCACAACTATTTGTGTTGAATAGCTCAATAAGTGAAAACGAATGTTGACAATGTTCTTTCTACTATTAGGCTATGAATAAAATCAAAAAAGCTTCCAGAAATAACAATATGAATTATGAATTCAGACTGATAAAACTGTAAACGACTCACCACAATGTTTCTTGAGGAATTTCCATATGTGCTGCTCACTTTAACCGTAATGGATTTGTCACAGTATTTTTCCACTAAATCTTCAAAAGAGGGTGCGGCATCACTAGGATCTATAAGCCAGGCAGCAATTCTGGGATCTAGCCCTACAAAATCAGCAACTGAAGAGAAAAAGGTCATTCGATCATCCCAAGAAAAACCAATAGTTGTTTCTCCTGCTTTGACAAGGTACTAAAGTTCAAATGAGTAATAGTAGTATAATCATCCTCTCAAATGATAGAGCTAAGGACCAAAGTGACTCCATCATTCTCCAGAACTTAGAACCTTTGATAAGGCAGCCTTAACGAACCCAAGTCCTCCATGGCCCGTCTTTGTGGGTGTCATATGAAAGAAGCAGATTTCAAATAGCCATAAATAAGGGACTGTAAGATCCAAATTGCAATTTGGATCTCTCAAAAACATGTTGAAAGCTGTCAGAGTGCTGGGCCATGCTTCCTGTCTCCCCTCGTCCTCGCTCCTCTTTCCCTCAGGCATCCTTTCTGCCAAGTCCTCCCCTCCTCCAGCCTCACTGGGCAGTCTTGCACCATTGAGTCTGGAATCCAAGCCTCTGGAGTAAAACGAAGAACGGCAGGAGTTGCCTGAGTACATGACACCCCAAGGCAAAGATGCTTTGGCATTCTCCCTGAAGAGTGGAAAATCCACAAGATAACTAATGTGTGAAACCTTGGTACTGCAGAAGGAGCACTGGGCCTGGATTCTGAATCACCCGATGAGCCTAGGAGGCCACCTCGCCCCTTCAGTGTTAGTTTCTTCATTCAGAAACTGGGGAAAAAGATTACTATAATTATCCGTGATATACATGAGAAAATGCTTCTAAAAAGTAAACACAGTATTTGCTAAACAGATAAGTTTTTATAACAGAACACTTTAGACATGGAGGGAGATTCATAAAAGGATGGGGGAGGGCTTCTAAATCAATAGACAAACTAAATCCTAAAGTGACTGCTTTCTAAGTTACTTTAAAATTCTGAATTGTGCTACACAAAAATAAGGAGTCTGCCCTTAAATGAAACTACAGTCTCAGATCATATAACATTAAATGTATGTTCCAACATATTTAAATTATACCAGTCTAAGAGATTGAGATTCACCAAAGCAGCCAATATTCTAGCTTTCTCATGTGAGGTCCAGGAAGACTCTTACAGTGGCACATTTGGAGCTCTGGATAAGAGGAGTCAGTGGTCCCCTGGCTACCTACCACCTCTGTCAGCAACCCATGATTTTCTAAACACTGTCTGGTGATAAGGACTGACCCAATAGGACTGTTTCATTCCACTTGCCTTTTCAATGATCTAATATTCCAAAAGTAACAGTTCTTATCAATATATATTTTTTAAAAAATCCTTGGGGAAGCCCTGACAGTACAGGAATGCTCTGGGAAATGTCTTGTCCCTATAATCTCTTGCAACTGACAAACTTAAGTCTGCCAGGACAAATCCCATACTAGGGAGAAAATGCCAGTTGTTGAAAAAGAAATGGTAACAAAATAAGATTTAAAACAAGCTCAAAAAAATAAATAGCAAAAGCTATGAAAAAATAAGTAAATCAGAATTATATACTTAGAAATTAGGTAACTTTCAAAAAGAAAAATTATACAAAGAAATGAGACAATCCAGGGAGAAAAATTTTTGAAAGAGACATTTCAGAAATAAAAACTAAACTGGAAAGACACAAAGGCAAATAAATATAATAGCTAACTCCTTACAGTAAAAAAAAAAAAAAGATGAAAAAGAAGGAATTTTTGTTTGTTTGTTTTGTTTGTTTTTTTGAGACAGAGTCTTGCTCTGTTGCCCAGACTGGAGTGCAATGACACAATCTCGACTCACTGCAACCTCTGCCTCCTGGGTTCAAGTGATTCTCCTGTCTCAGCCTCCCGAGTAGCTAAGATTATAGGCGTCTGCCACCACGCCCAGCTAATTTTTGTAATTTTAGTAGAGATGAGGTTTCACCATGTTGGTCAGGCTGGTCTTGAACTCCTGACCTCAGTTGATCTGCCCACCTTGGCCTCCCAAAGTGCTGGGATTACAGGGGTGAGCCACCACACCCAGCCACTTCTTTTTCTTTTTTGAGACAGGGTCTCACTCTGTCGTCCAGGCTGGAGTGCAGTAGTGTGATCAGCCTCTGCCTCCTGGGAATCAAGTTTAACAGAACTTAAAAATAAAATAAAATAAAATTTAAAAAATTAAAAAGAAAGAGACTGAAAATGGATTCTGGATAAAAATGATAAATATGACAAAAAGATAAATATGAAAGACAGGCAAGAAGATTCAACACATGAAATAGGAATTCAAAGAAAAAAGCAAACGAACACAGCACTAAACACTGCAATTCAAAATGACTTTCAACTACACACTTAAAGACATGCATAATCAGCACAGTATAGTATTGACACAGAAGAGACCTACAGATCAGTGGGACAGAAGTAAGAGTCTAGAGATAAACCCACACATCAATGGTTGATTGATTTTCAACAAAGGTACTAAGAATGGTGCTGGATACCAACAGTGGGTTGAATTGTGGTCCTCAAAAGATATCTCCACCCAGAACCTCAGAATGGGAACTTATTTGAATAAGGGACTTTGCAGATATAATTATGGTAGGAATCTTGAGATGAGATCATATTAAGTTAGGGTAGGCCCTAAATCCAATGATGGGTATCCTTGTGAGAGACAGAAAAGAGGGTGACATATAGAGACACACAGAGGGAAAAGCCCACTTGAGGGTGGAAGCAGAGACTGGGAGGATGTGTCTACAAGTCAAGGAGTGCCAAGGACTGCCAGTTACCACCAGAAGCTGCGGGAGAGTCACAGAATGGATTTTCCCTCAGAGACTCCAGAAGGAACTGGCCCTGCCAACACCTTTATTTGGACTTCTGGCCTCCAGAACCATAGGAAAATAAATTTTTGTTGTTTTGAGCACTTAGTTTATGGTAATGTTACAGCAGCCCTAGGACACTAATACAGACCCCTACCTCACACCATATGCAAAAATTAACTAAAAATGGATCATAAGCCTAACCTCAGAGAGAAAATGATTAAACTCTTAGGAAAAAAAAATGAGTAAATCTTTCTGACCTTGAATTAAACAATGGTCTCTTAAATTTAACATCAAAAATATAAATGACAAAGAAAACACAAATAAATTGAATTTCCTTTTAAAAAAAAAGTGTGCTTCAAAGGACATCAAGAAACTATAAAAACATAAATCACAGATTGAGAGAAAGTATTTGCAAATTGTATTAGAATATATAAATCTTTTTTTTTTTTTTTTGACAGAGTCTCTCTCTGTTACCAGGCTAGAGTGCAATGGGGCGATTTCAGCTCACTGCAACCTCAGCCTTCCAGGTTCAAGCTATTCTCCTGCCTCAGTCTCCTGAGTAGCTGGGACTACAGGCGCGTGCCACCATGCCCAGCTAATTTTTGCATTTTTAGTAGAGACGGGGTTGCACCATGTTGACCAGGATGGTCTCAAACTCCTGACCTTGTGAACTGCCTGCCTTAGCCTCCCAAAGTACTGGCATTACAGGCATGAGCCGCTGCACCTGGCCAATCATTCTTACAAATAAACAATAAAAAGACAGAAGTCAGACATCACTCTAGCAAGCACATGTCGTCACAGATACTCTGCTCTGTAACATGGACAGAGGAGACACCAAAACAAAGAGGCTGGTCAGCCGTACCTGTTGGAGGAGGTACATCCCACACGTCCCCTGGGCATGAACTCCCAGCTAGCCTTCCCATACTGTCGAGGTATATACCCTTACAGACTTTCCTCAGCAGGGATGCGCAGTGCTCTGAAGTTTGCTAGAGCCGAGGCACACCTGGGCTTAAGGTGCCATCTAGTGACAAAAAGGAAGAAAGAACCGAGCAAAAAAGAAAAGATATACCAACAGGTATACATAAAAAAAATCTCTGAGCAAACATATCCAATAAAACAACAAAACAAGCCAGCAAGAGAAGATTGGAACAAAAACCTAATCCTTCCATGCAAAGAAACAGACGCACATTCAAAAGAAATAACAGCAAGCGGGGAACGAAGACCTCCTCAAACCAGACAAAGCAAGAAGCCAGTGACTGACCTTAACAGGATGGTGATAGGGAAGCATTTTGATCAAGAATTCAAAACTGCAGTTTTAAGGAAACTCAGTGATCTCTAAAATATCACAGAAAAACCCAGAAATTGATCAGAAAAATTTAACAGAGATTGAAATAATTTTGAAAATCAAACAGAAATACTGGAACTGAGAAATATATTTGCTGAGCTGAAAAATTCATTAGAGGCTCTCAACAGCAGAATGGATCAAGCAGAGAAAAGAATCAGTGAGTCTCAAGATAGGCTATTGGAAAAGACACAAAGGAGAAAAAAGAAAAGAGAGAAAAGAAATGAAGAATACCTATAATGTACAGAAAATTGCCTCAAAAGAGCAAATCTAAGAATTATTGGTGTTCAAGATAAAGCAGAGCAAGAAGAGCAAGAAGAGGAAAGCTTATTCAAAAAACAACATAAAACTTCCCAGATGTTTTTTTGGTTGTTTTTTGTTTTTTAGACAGAGTCTTGTTCTGTTGCTCAGGCTGGAGTGCAATGGCTTGATTTTAGCTCATTGCAACCTCTGCCTCCTGGATTAAAGCAATTCTCCTATCTCAGCCTCCCGAGTAGCTGGGATTATAGGTATGTGCTACCATGCCTAGCTCACTTTTGAATTTTAGTAGATAAAGGGTTTCACCATGTTGGCCAGGCTGGTCTTGAACTTCTGACCTCAAGTGAATCACGTGCCTCAGTCTCCCAAAATGCTGTGATTATAGGCATGAGCCACTGCATCTGGCCCAAATCTTGAGAAAGACATAAACAGATTATATCCAAATAAAACGATTGCAATACATATATTAAGCAAGGCCCCAAAGGTCAAGGACAAAGAAAGGACCCCAAAAGCAGCAAGAGAAAAGAACTAATAATGTATAAAGGAGATCCAATTCATCTGGCAACAGATTTCTCAGTGGAAACCCTAGAGGCCAGGAGAATGTGGGATAACATATTCAAAGTGTCAAAAGAAAATAAAACTGCCAGGCTCAGGGGCTCACACCTGTAATCCCAGCATCTTGGGAGTCCAAGGCAGGAGGATCACTTCAGGCTATGAGTTCAACAGCAGCCAGGACAACATAGTGAGACCCCTGTCTCTAAAAAATAAAAATAAAAAAATTAGCTGGGTATGGTAGAACACACCTGTAGTACCATCTACTTGGGAGGCTGATGAAGAAGGATCACTGGAGCCCAGGAATTTGAGGTTACAGTGAGCTATGATCACACCACTGCATTCCAGCCTGAGTGATAGAGAGAGACCCCATCTTCTCAAAAAAAAAAAAAAATAGACAACTGCCAACCATGAATTTTGTGCCCAGCAAAGCTATGCTTCAAACATGAAAAATAAAGCCCCAGACAAAGAAAAACTGAGGAAATTCATCACCACCAGACCCATCTTCCAAGATATGCTAAAAGGAGTTCTTCAATCTGGAAGAAAAATACAGGAACACGAAAAAGAAAACATTTGAAAGATTAAAACCTACTGGTAAAAGTAAATACGTAAACTCAGCATACTCTAACACTGTAATTGTGGTATGCAATCCACTCATAATTCCAGTATGAAGATGGAAAGATAAATCTATATAAAACCGTAACAGCTATAGCAACCTGTTAAGAGGTGGGCAATATAAAAACACATAAATCGAGGCACAAAAAGTCAAAATGTGTGTAGGGGGTGGAATTTAAGTGTAGACATTTTTTAGTTTTTCCTTTATTTGTTTCTATTCTCTTCTTTGTAAATAAAGATACATTGTTGTCTGTTTAAAATAACTTGTTATAACTATAAGATGTTTTTTGTAAGGCTCCTTTTTATTTTTATTTATTTTATTTTTTAGTGTATTTGTTATTGTATTTTGTAACCACAAAGCAAAAACCTACAATAAATACACTAAAAACAAAAAGCAACAAATTAAAACATACTACCAGAGAAAAATCACTTAACCACAAGTAATAAAATGGCAGTAATAAGTCCTCACCTACTGATAACATTGAATGTAAATGGACTAAATTTTTCAATTAAAAGACATAGAATGGCTGAATGGATAAGGAAACAAGACCCAACTATTTCTTGCTTACTAGAAACCCGTTTCACTTATAAAGACTTACATAGAATAAAAGTGAGGGAATGCAAAAATTAATATTGTTAAAATACCAATGTTACCTAAAGCAATTAAAGAGTAAATGCAATCTCTATCAAAATACCAATGACATTCTTCACAGAAATAGGACAAAAAGCCTAAAATCTGTATGGAACCAAACACCCTGAATAACCAAAGCAATCATGAGCAAAAAGAACAAAGCTGGAGGAATCAAACTGCCTGACTTCAAATTATATTACAAAGCTATAGTAACCAAGACAGCATGGTACTGACATAAAAACAGACACATAGACCAATGGAACAGAATAGAGATCCCAGAAATAAATCCACACATTTACAGCCAATTCATTTTTGACATGTGCCAAGAAGATACATTGGGGAAAGGTTATGGAAAAATCACATGCAGACGAATGAAATTAGACTCCTAGTTTAGTTTAAGGACTTAAATCTAAGACCTCAAACTATGAAACTTCTGGAAGAAAACACTGGGAAAATGCTCCAGGGCATTTGTCTGGGCATTTTTTTTTTTTTTTTACTAAAACCTCGAAAGCATAGGCAACAAAAGCAAAACTAGACAAATAAAATTACATCAAGCAAAAGCTGTACAGCAAAGGAAACAACAGAGTAAGGAGACAACCCATAGAATGGAAGAAAATATTTGCAAACTATCCATCTCATAGGGGATTAATAACCAGGATATAAAAGGAACTCAAACAGCTCAATAGGGGGAAACATGATTTAAAAATGGGCAAAAGATTTGAATAGACATTTCTGAAAAGAAGATATACAAAAGGCCAACAAGAATATTTTTTAAATGCTCAACATCACTAATTATAAGAAAAATGCAAGAAGGCTGGGAGTGGTGGCTCACACCTGTAATCCCAGCACTTTGGGAGGCCGAGGTGGGCGGATCATGAGGTCAGGAGATTGAGACCATCCTGGCCAATATAGTGAAATCCCATCTCTATTTATAAAATAAATAAAGAAAGAAAGAAGGAAAAATACAAAGAAGAGCACAATGAGATATCATCTCACCCCAATTTAAAATGACTTTTATCAAAAAGATAAGGAATAACAGATACTTGTGAGGATGTGGAGAAAGGGGAACCTATACACTATTGGTAGGAAAGTAAATTAGTATAGCCACTATGAAAAACAGTATTTTTTAAACTGATATATAGTCTATATATGTATTTTGAGACAGAGCAAGACTCTGTCTCAAAAAAAAAAAAGAAAGACTGGCTGAAAATTGATAATTGTTAAAACTGGGTGATGGCTACTTTTGTATGTGTTAGAAATTTTTGACAATAAAAAGGGTTTTTTCCAGCCTTTTATTATGAACATTTTCAAACATACAGATAATCTGAAAAGAATTATACAGTGAACACATATGTCCACCACCTAGATTCTACAATGAATATTTTTGCTATTTGTTTTTACTGCTTATATATTTGTTTTACCACCCATCTGTCCTCTGCCTCCAGGGTTCAAGCAATTCTCCTGCCTCAGCTTCCTGAGTAGCTAGGATTACAGGCGTGCATCACCACGCCTGGCTAATTTTTGTATTTTTAGTAGAGAGAGGGTTTCACCACGTTGGCCAGCCTAGTCTTGAACTCCTGACCTCGTGATCTGCCTGCCTCAGCCTCCCAAAAGTGCTGGGATTACAGGTGTGAGCCACTGCGCCCAGCTATGTCCATCTAGTTTTTAAAAAGTTTACTATTGGCCGGGCGCGGTGGCTCAAGCCTGTAATCCCAGCACTTTGGGAAACTGAGGCGGGTGGATCACGAGGTCAAGAGATCGAGACCATCCTGGTCAACATGGTGAAACCCTGTCTCTACTAAAAACACAAAAAATTAGCTGGGCATGGTGGCGCATGCCTGTAATCCCAGCTACTCAGGAGGCTGAGGCAAGAGAATTGCCTGAACCCAGGAGGCGGAGGTTGCCGTGAGCCGAGATCGCGCCATTGCACTCCAGCCTGGGTAACAAGAGCAAATCTCCGTCTCAAAAAAATAAATAAAATAAAATAATAAAAAGTTTACTATTTTAGGCCAAGTGCAGTGGCTCACGCCTGTAATCCCAGCACTTGGGGAGGAGCTGAGGCAGGAGGATGGCTTGAGGCCAGCGGTTTGAGTCCAGCCTAGGCAACAAAGCTGGGCCCCAACTCTACAAAAATTCAAAAAATTTAAAAAGATATATATATATACACGTGTGTGTGTGTGTGTTTAAAATCTTTATTATTTTAAATAAAAGGTAAGTCCTATATTGTTTTGGCGTTAATTACTCTTGACTGTACTTTAATTTTTAGAAAGTTTATAAGCTATTTGTGGTAATAACAAATCTCACTGACCATGCTACATAAGTTAATTCTTTCCTATTTTAAATTATGAAAGTAATATATACTTGTAAAAATTCAAATAACCTAGAAACAGAGGAAAACTGCCTCCCCGTGTTTAGGGTCCATGAGGAGGCATAGCAGTCTGTGAGCCCAGGTCCCCCAGGGGTTGTGTGCCATGGCTGCCCTCACCATTCTCTTGTTCATAGGAGGAGTCACAGTTGAAGAGTTAAATTATAGAGAGAATAAAAAACAGAACTTACCATGTTTCCAGCTGCCGTTATTACCAAAAAACTGCAGCACTATTCTCACAAAATCCTTAGCATTAAAGCAAATAACAGGACATTTACATTTCAGTGTTTGAAACAGCACATTCCTAGAAGACGAAAAGAAATTCACAGATTTAAACATTAATTTAGAACCTCCAACCTTGAAAAAATATTATTACTACTTGACTAATAGCTCTCATTTAGAGAGTACATACTTACATTAACTAAAGAATCCTAAGAGGTTGGTATTATTTATTATCTGTGCTTTACAGATGATGAAACTGAAACACAGAGAGACTAAGTAAGGTATTCAGGGTCACACAGCTGCCAAGTGCTTATCCCTGTGTACCACCCCACTACCTGCAGAATAAGACCTACGTTTCTGAGCAGGATACACCTATTCTGAGCTCTTTAGAGCCAGGCCCCAAGACGACTCTCTAGCCTGTTCTCCCAGAACTCCTCTCAAACATTCTACCCTCTTGTCCCACTGGATTCTCTTTCCTCTACCACCAGGCTGTGCCATGTCCTGTTCTGCTCCTGGGCCATGGCACATACTGCATTCTTGCCTACAGTTCTCTTCTCACGACTTTTACAAACTGTTCAAGGGCCATCTTCAGGAGGGTATGCCCTAATTCCCCAGGCAGGGGCTGCTCCCTCTTCTGTGTACCTTCTATACTCCTGTCCACGCGTGTACTTCAGTAGGAACACACTTGCTGTATTATCATGTACCTTGAAAGTTCATTCTCTCCATTATAACACAAGCACTTTGAATGTGGGATTCACAATTGTTAAAACTGACTGAATACTTACTATGTGCCAGATACCACAATGAACACTTCGCAGCATTGTGTGTGAAGTGATTGTTGCATCGAAACCTCGTCACAATCCCACCTGATATGGACTAGAACCATTTTACAGATGAGGAAGCTTAGTCTTGAAGAGGCTAAGCAATTTGGCCAGGGGTAAATGACTAATAAATGGCAATGCTGGGATCTGAGGTCATATCCTGCTGCTGCCAGGGCCCAAACTCTAAGCTACCAAAGCCATCAATCCCTCTTTATAGTAAAAGCCCATTAATATATTGAGGTTCTTTGGTTAGAGCTGAGAAAGGAAGAAATCGAGAGCCTACTGAGCTTTGCACACTTAGCCAAATTGTAGTTAGATTTTGCTTGGACTTGTTCCACGGAAAGACATTTGGTGGCTTTTTCCATTTTATGTGATTTCACCTTGGTTTTCCTTGAAAAGGGCAGCCAGGATGGTAGGGAGGGCAAAGGGTCAATAACACAACTTTAGATCTTGGCTTGGGTGGAGTGGGGAGGAGGTTGTCCAAGAGGAGAAAAGGGAAAGAGAGAGTGAAGAACGTATGAAGGAGAAGAACTGGGGCCACGCAGCTCACTTCCCTTTGCTGCTCCTTCATCCTCAAAACTCAGAGGTCCATGATGAGGTAATCTGCCAACTAGTCTATCTTCCGCTAATAAGAAACGAATTGATTTTTATCTTGATAAAACAAAGAAAAAGAATGGCTTGTAAGATAGATGGAAACTGGCCAGGCATGGTGGTGCATGCCTATAGTCCTAAAGTCCTAGCTACTGGGGTGAGGCTGCTAAGGAGGGAGAATCTCTTGAGCTGGGAGGCTGAGGCTGCAATAAGCCGTGAAGTAAAACATATCTATCTATATGTATGTACATGCACACACACATATATATTTATATATATACAAGCTAGACTTGAGGGTTTCTCATCTGTAGAATGGAGTGAATAGGCATAACACACAGAGAGAATGTGAAGGTGAAGGAAGAGGGCGTATGTGAAAAGCCCTTGCACAGGTTACTTAATAAATGTTATTCAACATGTTTTGTGTAAAAAAGTATGTGTATTAATTTAAATGTTATTTATTTAAATTTGTTAGAATCTCAAAGACATAATCATACGATTGGGATTTTTATTTCCAATTTATGGTGCTTGAGGCAATGCATTAATTTAACTGTCCTAGAACTTATAAAAATTAAGCCTTGGGTGGGAGTCCTGGCTCACACCTGTAATCCTGGCACTTTGAGAGGCTGAGGTGGGCAGAACGCAAGGTCAAGAAATTGAGACCATCCTGGCAAACATGGTGAAACCCCATTTCTGCTAAAAATACAAAATTAGCTGGGCATGGTGGCACATGCCTGTAGTCCCAGCTACTCAGAAGGCTGAGGCAGGAGAACTGCTTGAACCCAGCAGGTGGAGGTTGCAGTGAGCTGAGATCACACCACTGCACTGCAGCCTGGTGATGGAGTTAGACTTTGTCTCAAAAAAAAAAAAATTAACCCTCAACATTCATTCATTCATAATAATATTGAATACCGATTAAGCAATTGCTTTGTAGCATTGCTTTTAGATATTGGGGATACATTAGCAAACACACTGCTGAACGGAAAAGAAAGTTATGTATGTGGGGTTGGCAGTGGGGTACCATCTCATACAGTGTGGTCAAGGAAGGTCTGATAAGGTCATTCTTTTTTTCTTATAGACAGCCTCACTCTGTCATCCAGGCTGGAGTGCAGTAGCACAATCACAGCTCACGGCAGCCTCAAACTCCTGGGGTCAAGTGATCCTCCGACATCAGCCTCTGGAGTAGCTGGGACTGTAGGCACATGCCACTGTACCTGGGTAATCTTTAAACTTTTTGTATAGATGGGGTCTCACTGTGTTGCCCAAGCTAGTCTCGAACTCCAGCTTCAAGCCATCCTCCCATCTCAGCTGAGCCACTGTGCCCAGCCAAGGCAACTCTTGAGGAAAGATATGAAGGATTATGTAAACAAAAGCCTAGTTGTGAAGAAAAAGTTCTTTACAGAAAATTTTAGCCACTCTATGTGAAAGAAATGATAGAGTTAGAAAAATCACCATCTTACTAGCCATCATAAAATAAGTGATTCAGATGATCCTCATCAATGGGCAAAACCAATAAGGGAAAGTTTGGGGGAGAAGCTTATAAGTAAGGGGTCGTGCGGACACCACCTGAACCCGCTCTCCCTCTCGGCAGCATGAAAACTGGGACAACCCAATTGCATCACTAAGGGAAGTCGGGAGGACACCAGTTAAGTTTGAATTTCAGAAAAATCATGAATAATTATTACCTGAAAAAAATTAAATATTTTTTAGAGATGTATTCTTCTAGTATAACCATGTCCCATGCGACACTGGTATTTGTATACATAGGTATACTAAGAAATTAGTTATTTATCTGAAATTCAGATTTGGTATCCTATATTTTAATTTCTCAGTCTGGCCATCCAATTCCATCACGGTGGTATGTGAAGCCTATGGCACCACCTAGCAAGTGCTGTGCACAACAAGTTGGCCCCACATAATCGAGCCTTTAGCACTAACTCCAGTTTATAGAAAATATGGCAAAGAGGAAAGGGAACGAGTTAAAGAACTTCACGATAAGGCAAACCAATGAATCCAGGACATGGGACCTCCTCCAAGATGGGGAGAGGGGCTGTGGGCACTCCAGATTAGAAAGAAAAGAGACATGGCCACCCAGTGATATGTCCTGATCCCAATAAGTCAACTGTAGAAGGACATTTTTGAGACAACCAGGTAACTTTAAATTTGGATTGGGTATAAAATTCGTTAAATTTTAAAATGGCATTGTGGCTCTGTTAAAACAACAACAACAACAAAAAACAAGCCTGTAGTTTTTATAGTTACCCTCAGACATGAGAGGGCAAAACAGTAGGTTGGGGTTTTCTTTTTAAAATTTATTTATTTTACTTTAGGTGCATACTATATCTGGCAGGGGAGTTTCTTTAATCCCAGCCCTCTCCCCTCCCCCAGGAAAGGGACAGATGACAGAAGTAAGGAAAAACCTGGTCTGGGTGGATGTGTATACCACTCTGTACTTTTGTGTTTTCGTAGTTTACTTTCTGTTTGTTCAGAGAAAAACATAAAGGAATGAGGCAGAAAACCATGCAGTTATTTGGGAGAAGGCTGCAGGGAGGGCATGGTGGTACCAGGCCCTTGGGTAGAGGCACACGCCACATGGTCAGGAACAGCAAGGAGGTGGGAGTGCACTGAGAGGCCAGGAGAGAGGAGGGGGTGAGGTTGAAGACAGTGGAGGGGCTGGAGCAAGCAGACCTCAAGGGCGAGGGCCTTCATAGGTCCTGTGGCTTTTCTACACTTGATGTTAGCCAGAAGGCTGAGAAGCAGTGGTTTTAGCTTTTCCTCAGAGTGAAGCAGGAACTGTCTGAAGGTTTTGGGCAGGGGAGTGATATGATCTGATTTATGCTGTAACAGGCCAGCTCTGGGTGCGGCACAGAAAACAGACTGAAGGGGAACGTGGAAGCAGGAGTCCAGAATGGAAGCTCCTGTGATCCAGTGGGAGTAACGGCTTGTGCCGAGTAGCAGCAACACAGTGGATAAGCAGAGGGCAGATTCTAGCTACACTTGAAGGCAGAGCCAAAAGGACTTGCTGAGAGCTTGATACGGTTTGTGGAAAGTAGAGAGAAGTTAGGGATAACCCCAAAACTTTTTGCCTAAGCTCATGGAGTGCAGATACTAAGACAGCCAGGCCACGGGAGGCAGGGTCCAGGGCAAGACAGGAGCTCCGTTTGGACATGTTTGCCTAAAATGACCACTATACATCCAAGTGGAAAACATCAATTAAATTCAGAAATATCATCCAGATATTAGTGCTGTGTCCTCACAAAAGCTCTCCATGTACTAGACCTGACCAGTTATTCTCTAAAGAGGAAATTACCTAAAAAGAAAATTAAGGGTTCTGTTGGGAGCTGAATGCTATGTTTGTCAGACATTTTCCCCTTCTCCCCAAAAGTTACCTAAGATCACCCAGAGCCCAGTGAGCCTATATGAAGCATGGAAGGGCTACTAACGGGGCCCAGCTTCCTCCGGAGCTGCCTTGATCGCCTCTTCAGGGTGGTGGCTCCATGGAACTCCCCCCGGGGTGGCTGACTGGCCTTAAATTAGAAGGCTGGGAAGGCAGCGGATACCTCCATCTGAGGCAGAAGCCCAAGTCAGGTGGATAACCCGAACAAAGAAACAGTGAGAAAGGGTACAAGAGCCATCCCAGAAAGGGCCTTTCAGAATCCAGAAGGGGTAGCAGGAGCAACCCTGCCTGCTCTAAAATTCTGTGATTCTATGAGGGCCAGTCCAAAGAGGTGAGACAGGTCTTGCCTCTTTCCACAGACATGGAGCTTTCAAACTAGTACCATCCTTGGTGGTAATTAAGGACAATTTATTGTTTGCAGGCAGTGATAATTTTATTTTCTAATGCTGTGAATGAATCAACACAAGTATGATAAGGAAACCCATCTGCCAGTGACAGAGGATTTTCAGGGTCTGGGGGTGATGCTTTTCTCCCCAACTTGTCATTGTGAAGTTGCTTCAAGTCCTGGAGCAGACTGCTCCCACAGGAGAATGGGAACTCCATTTCAGATACTCTCTGGGAGAGAGAGGGCCAGTATTTGCAGAGGTTTCTATCACTCAGATCCATTTTATTTTCATTTGCCCATATAAAACTTGTAAAAGTTTAAATAATTAAAACTGGACCTTGAGAAACTTTACATTAATATACAGCAGGCATGTCAACAGGGTGTGAGTTCATACGTGAAGATTTCTTACCGGGCAAATTGATGATGTGCCTCCTGTTTTTGGTCCCAGAGAGCAGAGCGCTCTATTTGAATGTAGATACATAGATCACCCGACACAAAGCCCTCCAGAACAGGACCACAGGCCGGGGTGTCTGGACAACCACGGCCACCCTCTGCTTGGCTTTTTAGTAACACCACAATTCCTCTCACAGAGGAAATGGGAGTCTGTGGAAACACAACAAAACAAATACAAAACCTAGACTGTTTATAGCCACCTGTTGTAGAGAGATACACATTTTAAACTTAAGCAGAGATAAAAAGGCCTAGAATTAAACTTGTAAACGAATGGCTCTTTTAATAATAATCAAGGCCAAAGGCCAAACCCATGACCTTACCCCAAATCTGGTCTCTACCCTGTCCAACATAATAGACGTCTCATCCAGGGCAATATGATAGGAGAAAGGAATAAAAGATACACATATCAGAAAGGAAGCATCACACTACCCCTGTTAACAAATGGCATGAACGTCTGTGTAGAAAATCTAAAGGAATGTATAGAAAATGAATCCCGGAACTAACATGTGACTTTAGCAAGGTTGCAGGATGCAAGATCAAAGCACAAAAATCTAATATATTTTCATATTCCAGCAATAAACATGTGAAAATAAAATCTTTTAAAACTGCCATTTATAAAACTCTCAAAAATGAAATACTTAGGTAAAAACTAACAAAATACATACAGGATATGTATGCTGGAAACTACAAAATGCTGATGAAAGAAATCGGAGAAGTCCTAAATAATGAAGACATGTAATACTCGAGGATTTAAAAACTCAAAATAAGAAGAAGATTGTCCTTTCTCCCCAAGTTAATCATCAGAACCAAGAAGATCACTAAACCTCAAGAACAAGGAACATGAAGAAAACTACACCAGGAAAAATACATCACAATCATTTGCTTAAAACCAGTGACAAAAGAAGTGGGGGTGGCGGGTGAGAGAACACATTACATAGATAGGAACAAAGATAAGGGTGACAGCAGATTTCTCGTGGAAAATAAAGCAAGTCAGAAGACAGTTGAGTAACATGAAACTACTGTAAGAAAATAAACTATCAACTTACATTCTTTAGCCAGCAAAATGTCTTAAAATAAATGAAAGGTAGGCCAGGCAAGGTGGCTCACGCCTGTAATCCCAGCACTTTGGGAGGCCGAGGTGGGTGGATCACCTGAGGTCAGGAGTTTGAGACCAGCCTGGGCAACATGATGAAACCCTGTCTCTACTAAAAATTAGCCAGGCATGATGGCAGGCGCCTGTACTCCTACCTACTTGGGAGCTGAGGCAGGAGAATCACTTGAACCCGGCAGGCAGAGGCTATGGTGAGCAGAGGTTGTGTCATTGCACTGCAGCCTGGGGGAAGAGCGAGACTTCGTCTCAAAAAACAAAAGGTAAAGCATGACTTCCCTGCTACACTGAAAAGCATAAAACATCCCTAAAGGGAATTAAAGTTTGACATAAATGGAGGCACCCCACGTTCACGGGTCAGAAAACTCAATAAATTATATTAAGATGGCAAGACTCCCAAAATTAATCTATAGATTTAACACAATTTATATCAAAATTCCAGCTGGATTTCTGCATAAATTGACAAACGGACCATAAAAACTGACAAGCAAAGGAAGCACAATACCCAAAAGAATCTTGGAAAAAACGATGTTGGAGGACTCACTCTTCTTGACTTCAAAACCTACTACAAAGCTCCAACAATCAGAGAGAATTGGGAGATCGTGGCAGACAGGAGGCAGGACTAGATCAGCTCCCACTGGGACAGACAGAGCAGAGCGCAGAGGCTCGCGTCGTGAACTTTTGTTCCAGAACGACTGCAGGAATCAATGAGGAAAGCAGAGAGAACCACAGCCGCTCTGAAGGAAGCAGACTGCAGGACCCGGGAGACACCTCACATACTGTGTTGGTATCCACCGCTGAGAGACCCACAGACGGTTCCATCACAGGACTCTGCAGACAACCCCCGGTACCAGCCTGGAGCCTGGTAGACTTGCTGGGTGGCTCGATCCAGAAGACAGATAACAATCATGACAGCTCAGCTCTCAGGAAGCCATATCCCTAGGAAAATTGGGAGAGTACTACTAAGTGAACACCCCATAGTACAAAAGAATCTGAAGAGCAGCCTTGAGTCCTAGACCTTCCTGCTGACAGGGCCTACCTAAATGAGAAGGAACCAGAAAGCCAACTGGGAATATGACAAAGCAAGGTCTTTAGCATCCCCAAAATCATCACACTAGCTCACCAGCAATGGATCCAAACCAAGAACTCCCTGATTTACCTGAAAAAGAATTCAGAATGTTAGTTATTACGCTGATCAGGGAGGCACCAGAGAACAGCAAAGCCCAGTTTAAGGAAGTCAAAAAATGATACAAGAAATGAGGGGAGGCCAGGTACCATGGCTCACACCTGTAATCCCAGCACTTTGGGAGGCTGAGGCAGACGTATCACGAGGTCAGGAGATCGAGACCACCCTGGCTAACATGGTGAAACCCCGTCTCCACTAAAAATACAAAAAATGAGACAGTATGGTGGCATGTGCCTGTAGTCTCAGCTACTCAGGAGGCTATGGCAGGAGAATCACTTGAACCTGGAAGGTGGAGGTTGCAGAGTGAGCCAAAATTGCACCACTGCACTCCAGCTTGGGGCGAGAGAGCAAGACTCCATCTCAAAAAAACAAAGGAAAGAAATGAGGGGAGACATCTTTGGTGAAATAGATAGCATAAATAAAAAACAATCAAAACTTCAGGAAACAATGGATACACTTATAGAAACGCAAAATGCTCTGGAAAGTCTCAGCAATAGAATCAAACAAGCAGAAGAAAGAACTTCAGAGCTCGAAAACAAGGTTTTTGAATTAACCCAATCCAACAAAGACAAAGAAAAAAGAATAAGAAAATATGAACAAAGCCTCCGAGAAGTCTGGGATTACATTTAACAAGCAAACCTAAGAATAATTGGCGTTTCTGAGGAAGAAGAGAAATCCAAAAGTTTGGAAAACATATTTGGGGGAATAATAAAGGAAAACTTCCTTAACTTGCTAGAGACCTCTTCATCCAAATACAAGAAGCTCAAAGAACACCTGGGAAATTCACTGCAAGAAGATCATGGCATAGGCACACAGTCATCAGGTTATGTAACGTTAAGACAAAGGAAAGAATCGTAAGGCCTATGAGGCAAAAACACCAGGTAACCTATAAAGGAAAACCTATCAGATTAACAGCAGATTTCTCAGCAGAAACCCTCCAAGCCAAAAGGGACTGGGGCCCTATCTTCAGCCTCCTTCAACAAAACAATCGTTTCCAGCAAAACTAAGCTTCATAAATGAAGGAAGAGTACAGTCCTTTTCAGACAAACAAATGCTGAAAGAATTCAGCACTACGACGACTGTTAAATTGAGTTCTGAATCTTGAAACAAATCCTGGAAACACATTAAAGCAGAACCTCTTTAAAGTACACATCTCACAGGATCTATAAAGCAAAAATAAATTCAAAAAATAAAAACCAAAACCAAGGTATACAGGCAACAAATAGTATGATGAACGGAATGGTACCTTACATCTCAACACTAATGTTGCATGTAAATGGCCTAAATGCTCTACTTAAAAGATACAGAATTGCAGAATGGGTAAGAATTCACCAACAAACTATCCGCTGCCTTCAAGAAACTCACCTAACACATAAGGACTCATACACTTAAGGTGAAGGGGTAGAGAAAGATATTCCATGCAAAGGGACACCAAAAGCAAGCAGGAGTAGCCATTATGATATCAGACAAACAAACTTTAAAGCAACAGCAGTTAAAAAAGACAAAGAGAGGGCCAGATGCCTGAAATCCCAGCACTTTGAGAGGTTGACGTGGGCAGATCATTTGAGGTCAGGAGTTCGAGACCAACCTGGCCAACATGATGAAACCCCATCTCTACTAAAAATACAAAAATTAGCCAGCCATGGTGTCTCATGCCTATAGTCCCAGCTACTCAGAAGGCTGAAACAGGAGAGTCGCTTGAACCTGGGAGGCAGAGGTTGCAGTGAGCCAAGATTGTGTCACTGCACTCCAGCCTAGATGACATGACACAGCAAGACTGTCTCAAAAAAAAAAGGAAAGACAAAGAGGGACATTATATAATGACAAAAGGCTTTGTTCAACAGAAAAATACCACAATCCCAAATATATATGCACCTAACACTGGAGTACCCAAATTTATAAAACAATTAATAGACCTAAGAAATGAGATAGACAGCAACACACAGTAATAGCAGGGGACTTCAATACTCCACTGACAGCACCAGACAGGTCAAAAAGATAGAAAATCAACAAAGAAACAATAGATTTAAACTATACCCTGGGACAAATGGACTTAATAGATACTTACAGAGCATTCTACTCAACAACCACAGAATATATATTCTATCCATCAATGTATGGAACGTTCTCCAAGATAGGCCATGTGACAGGCCACAAAATGAGCCTCAATAAATTTAAGAAAATTGAACTTATATCAAACACTTTCAGAGCACAGTGGAATAAAACTGGAAATCAATTCCAAAAGGAACCTTCAAAACCATAAAAATACATGGAAATTAAATAACCTGCTCTTGGATTATCACTGGGTCAAAATGAAATCAAGTTGGAAATTTAAAAATTCTTCAAAACTGAACAACAATAGTGACACAACCTATCAAAACCTCTGGGCTGCAGCAAGGGCAGTGCTAAAAGGAAAGTTCATAGCCCTAAACACCTATATCAAAAAGTCTGAAAGAAGACAAACAGACAAGCTAAGGCCACACCCCAAGGAACTAGGGAAACAAGAACAAACCAAACCCAAACCCAGCAGAAGAAAGGAAATGACCAAAGTCAGAGCAGAACTCAACAATTTTGAAACAAAAAAAATACAAAAGATAAATGAAACAAAGTCCGGGCACACTGGCTCACGCCTGTAATCCCAGCACTTTGGGAGGCAGAGGAGGGTGGATCACCTGAGGTCAGGAGTTCGAGACCACCCTGACCAACATGGTGAAACCCTGTCTCTACTAAAAAAAAAAAAAAAAAATAGGCAGGCGTAGTGGTGCATGCCTATAATCCTACCTACTTGGGTTTCTGAGGCAGGAGAATCACTTGAACCCGGGAGGCAGAGGTTGCAGTGAGCCAAGATTGTGCCAT